ACATCCTTAAATGAAGAATTAATTGGTCAATAATTTTTATATCTAAATAACTAGACTTCGAAGATTTGATTTTTTTTCCTCAAAATCGATCGCGTACCTTGAAAGCTGGTGATGTTCCTTAGATGAAACTCCGTAAAGGCAATATTGGCGATTTCAGGTGCGACGCCGCCGACATACATAGGCGCGACAAGTTTCAGGTCTTCCTTGGGACCTTCGTTGATTATGCTCCTAGCAGGACCGCGGTCAACCCTCATCGTGAAGTTCTTCTTGATCGCGAGAAGCTCGGCCACGTGGGGTTTACCGTCGGCTACCATTTCGTAACTGTACATAGTCGAGGTCGGGTAATTACCGACGTCGTATGAGACTCTGACACGGCCACTGAACAATTCGACGGCGATGTGGTCGCCGTTCTGGCCGTTGTAGAGGAGAACCCCGTTCTCCTGCGTAGTCGTAAATACGATGGTCACGTTCGCCTCGGGCCTCGTGCGTAGCGGCTCCAGCTCGACCAGCGAGCTGTTGTCCACGAAGCTCAAACTCGTCAGGTACTCGCATCGTTTTCCTTTATCAGAATACATTCAGTTATAGCGTGACATCATTATTCTATTTTGAATGCACGTGTTATTCTTTGCGTTCAAACAATATCTATAAAATATTTTTGTGATTACTTACCGGTGTAGCCGGGGTGGCACTGGCAAAGATAGTCCGCGGCGGAAGCGGGAGCTGGTTGGAAGCATGCACCGTGCTGACAGTCATGGTGTGCACATGGACTAGTTTGCGGGTAGAGCATGGCTGTCGAGGGTGCCGCCTCGCAATATCTCCCCGTGTATTCCGCCGCGCACTTACATTCGTAATTGTTTATGCCGTCGATGCAAGTAGCACCGTTCTAGACAAAAGAATTGAACATCCTTTAAATAAATTCGAAAATTGTTTCCTAAATAGATTGCTATTTCCACGACCATCGATTACTGTTTTTAATTGGTATCCAAATTATAAAATCAATGAAAATGTTGAATGTTTCTATAAGCGATCTGCTGTATTATAGACTTGAGAAAAGGGATAAGATACCTGGCACATATGATCAACGCAGTCATCCAGGTTGGTGGAACAATTGAGGCCGGTGAAGCCGATTGGGCATTCGCAGCTATAGTGGGTCCCGTGGTCGACGCATCGGCCCCCGTTCTCGCAGGGGTCGTGTCCTTTTGTGCAAAAGGGTATTTTCTCCTCGCAGTATTTGCCCATGAATCCTGGGGTGCACTCGCATCTGTAGGCTTGTACAAGGTCAACGCAGGTTGCGTTGTTCGTGCACTTGTTGTTCTCGCAATCGTCGACGTTGTTTTCGCATCGAAGTCCCTTGTACCCGGGGGCGCAGTCGCAACTGTCACACACCAACTTTTCGTCAATCGAGACATTGACCACGATCTTCGATCGCGCGATATCCGCTAATCATTATCGTCACACGTAACGGAAATCGACAAAGTCGTTCGATTAATCGTTTTCTTAAAATCACAGAATTTCCTTTTAAATTATTTCGTTTGATACAGAATTCTATACTCCGTGGCAGAATTAATTATTCATATAATTCTTCAATATGTACTATTAGTTTAGAATTGCATTGTGAGAACATTGATCAACGTTTTAAATTTTCATACCGCGAAATAGGCTTGGCGAAAAAAAAATATACCGAGTTGTAATCGTTTCGTCGATAGGCTGTTACGTGTAACCGCTACTCTTCGGGGCTCACGTGCAGAGGTCCCGTTTTATTTATTCATACAACAGTACACGCGCAATTCTCGTTTTTTTTTTTTTTTTCACGTGCAATTTACTGCTACTGAAACTACATCTCATACTCTACGAAAATGGGTTAAATAGCTCTTTTACGATGCAAATACGTACATCCTCCCTCTTCCACGCGTGTATTTTTCAGATACTATATCATCGCGCAATATTAGTTTCGCTAGGCGGATTCGTAATGGTTGACTCGTACTACTAGACAGTGAAATACTTCCAAATTGGATTTGTACTCGACGATTTGAATTTCGATTTTCTCGCGGTCGTTACAATACGCTACGATAAACAGATGTTGTTTGGCCAAATACGTTTAGTACTTTACGTGCACGTCTACACAATTTCTGATCGATACTACTGCCTCCCGTATAATGGAAGGTTCGAAGGAAATCGGAGCTACAGTAAATACACAACTCGTGATTATATCTATCTGCAGCAGGATTCTGATCGAACTAGAAACGTCTAAGTCAATTTGTACGTCTCTGACAACGAACTTGTTCAAATAAATGAGACATACAATACGTCAGTAAATACAGTACGTCAGCAGTGTATAAAAAATAAAAAGAAATAAAAGTAAAATTGAAGTTTGATTAGAATCCGTCGCAGACGTCGTTTCTACGGGCACCACTGAACGAGCACATATAACATCAGACCCGAACGAGCTGGCTAAATAAGATAATCTACGTTGGGCTAGTAAAGAGCTTGGTACCTGAATCTTCCTTCTTCCAATACTTTACAAGTTCCGGTGTTCCGGCAAGGATTTCCATAGCACGCATCGATTTTATGTTCACACCGGTCCCCGTGATATCCTGGCGTGCATTTGCAACGGTATTTCCGGTCCGGGAACGTCTCGCAAAATCCTCCGTTCTCGCATGGCGAGGTGTAGCACAGGTCGCACTTGGCCAGGACTTCGGCTGGCTGTTGGTTGGCTGCGCGGAAGAAAGGTCTACGATTAATGAGCAATTTTAGTACCCCATTGTGACATAGGGCCAAAAAACCATGAACTAAACAGACTGCGTCACGGATCGTTGAAAATCAAAAACGTGGTCGGGCGCGTGGTACATCATGCCGGTCGGCGGCGAACGGCGACCAGCTGATTAACATTTTCATTAATATAACTTCAAAAGGACCAACTAGTTTTCCTTGACAAAATAATTAAAAATACACCGTGATCTTATTTTATCCTTCGCTTCATATCTTTCAAGTTACTATGAATTCTATCCTTTAAATAAACAATTCTTTGAATATTGTAATCCTAAGAGTACACTAAAAACGTTCTCAATCTATCAAATGAAATTATATCTCACAATCAGATCCAAAAATGTGTTTAATTAAAGACGAAAAAAAAATCTAGCCAATTGTGCGATTGATGATCGCAGCTGGTCGGTTTCGCCGCGACCGCGGTATCTGTCGAGGAAATACATACTTTTGCATTGGAACTCGGCCGCCGGGGTCGTCAGCAGCAGCTTGTCCCTCATCGCCGGTGGTTCCATGCATTTCGCTATCCCTGGTTCCAGGTAATCTTTCTTCACCCATTCGGCCAACCATCGCATGCTGCAGTCGCAGTACAGCGGGTTGGACCCGAGAGCGCTGTAAACGGAATCCGGGGCCGGTGAATTATTATCGGAACCGAACTGCGACCCGCGTAACTTTAACGCGAGAGCGAATACTCACAGGTGGGATATAGATTGGAGGTCCTCGAACGCGCCCTCCGGGATCACGGATATGTCGTTACCGTGCAGGGACCTGATACAAATCCGAATTTTTAACGATATTCAACGATGTCTACAGCAAAGACAAAAGATGACTTCATGATAAGAATAGCAGCCTGACGATGACGTTACATTAATTTCATATGCAAACGCGTAACCAAGTTATGTTTTTTCACCGCAATCTTGACGTGTCATGTAATAGTTTAATGTAATAGTACATTATCCGACAATAGGGTAATTATGTAGTACACGAGGCGTTAACATAATCTTAATAGAGGAGGGTTAGCTTCGCTAACGAGGCACCTCGGTAAATGCTTATATAAACTGATAGCATTAAACTTATTATTATTACATACTATTAATGTTACATTTTGTGACACAAGTCGACATCGTGTCATCCAATGGTAGATATTACTAATTAGGGTAACGATAATATTATTATTGAATCATATACGTAGAGCATATACTTAATCGTATTATTATTTGCCGATATAATGCGATAAATCTGTCTCTTGAAATTCGATAATTTTGGAATCATTTCGTAATTCGATGCCTCTGATACATACATACATACATACACAGACAGACAAATTATAGCCAGCGTTCATGACTTTAACGTACGCGCAAACGATTCGACGAATTAATTATAATGATTACGGTAATAAAGAACGGTCGTTCCTCAAATTGTCCGCGTAAAGAAATTAATAACCCAATCATCGGAATGAACGTATTATGACGGTAAACCGGCGCGGCGCGGCGGACGGTTTTCGCTCGTTAATTTAACGCAGATTGTTTCCCCGACGTCGCCTCGTCGCTTTCATTTACGTATTCGATTATTGAAGTTTAATGCGCGCGCGACAATCGATTTTATTCATCGACAAACTCAAAGCGCACTCTGTTGTCTCACCGTTCGCGAACAGTACTTTTCCAAGAAAAATGATTGCCTGCCCGCGTGCCGTGACATATTTGACCCTTTTATCGCTTAATTCACAACGATTCTTTCCCATATACGTAATTTATGAGCAGCGCGTGCCCGGCTATTCTGATGAGTGAAACGAATTTATAAATCTACAGCATTGTGTTTCAGACTCACATTATTCGTAGCGATTTTAATCCGACCAGGGCGTTGCGCTGGACGCACTGCAGTTTATTATAGTTGATGATTCTGGAAACAGCATAATCATATTATGTTAATAATATCGTAACGGATAAGGGAGACAAAATTTCAAATTCGAGAATTAAAAAAATATAGAAATATAATGAAAACGAATTTGTAGAAGACCAGGCTAAATAAAATTAAATTCTAGTACAAACTGCACCCCGGAAATCAATGAAACTTGTAAATAAAATTGATATACTATCTAAATAATTGATATAACTTACAGATGTGATAATTTGGTCAGGTTCTTGAAAGTATCGTTCGACAGCATTCCGATCTGATTATTGCTCAGGTCACTGAAAAACAGAAAACAATAAACTCTCAGATTTTTCCTTGCAACGACTACTAGCGCATGTAGTAGAATGCGTGTATTTTTATTTACAGTCGAGTGAGAATCCTCAGGTGGTTCAGCCTCTCCGGCTGGATCGTTTGTATGTCGTTCTCGTCCAAATACAGCTCGGTGGTTTCCGGCGGAATCCCGCGTGGAATCTCCGTAAGCTGAGACCTCGAGCACCTTACCACCGATCCAGCGCAATTACACTGAGGCGGACAATAATCGTCGCCCAGGCAGCCGACACTATCGTCTGCGGTAAAACGGTGGATCGTTAATTTCGCTGAATGTCGAAAGAATCGTTTACAATCGATTCTAGTCTGTCTCTTCCACCCACAAATATTCCACTGAATTATTCAACAGATAATGGAGATAATAAATAGAGAATGAATTATTCAATTATCGTTGAATTACCGAAAATATGCGTACTATGAATAATTGTATTATATACAACAACAGAAAGAATTTTTAATGACAGCAGAGAGAAACAGGTAGTGAATAACGGAATTATAAATTTCGATAAATTTTAATGAATTGATATGATCGTACTATTGCATTTGAACTCGTGATGCGGTATGTTCTTGATGACCGCGTCCTTCAATCGCGGCGGATCGTGGCAGTGGCCGACGACGCCAGACATGTCGCGTTTCCTCAGCCATCCGGCGAACCACGCGAGATGACAATTACACGACAAAGGATTGTCTTGCATGTTGCTGAAAACACGGAAGGCAATTTGTTAGGCTTACTGTCGTTAATTATGCGCACGGAAGCACGAAATATATTTTAACAGAAAGAGAATTAGGATAGGTAGGGTGCGCGAATAGGCGACGCGACGCGACGCGCGGGAGGGTGTAAAACGTGTTCAGGCATGTAATAATAAATGAATACCATATCATTGTCTCATTAATATTGATGAACGGTAATTCATGCAATTATTCTATAATATCGTCCCCGATTAAACATTCACGTTGTAATATGGCAGCGGCCGCGTTTCTCGTCCGTTCAGGCGACGAGCTGGTGGAATCATTGCGTTGACCAGATTATTAATAATTTTCGCATTACACTTCAGAACTGATTTCAATGCGCCTTTGTTTTATATTCATCACGGATTAACTTCGTTACCGTATGATGAAACGTAATCACTATTAACTTAATCTCCCTTGGGACTTTAGTTTCCGTATCATTTCCAAAAACTCGTTAATGCTTTATGAGAAAGATTTTGTAGCTCGATCATTACGTACAATATTAAATATTGTTCGTTCCGATTATTCAGTTTATCATTATGCGAACGGTAGATAATTAAACATTATTTATAATGTGTCTGATATTAATAAACTCGACGTGGCAGTATAACATTTTTGAACGCGAGGGAGGATTCAATAACCTCGTCGGACGGTTGCCGGCGAATCGATTTCGCCTTTAAAACGGGAGGAGCTAGTAAAAGTTTTATCGTTCCTTAGGATACTTACATGGTGCGTATGTGCGTCAATCCGTCGAACGCGCCGTGCATAACGCAGGTTATAGCGTTCCTGTGCAGGTTCCTGCGAAAATGATGTTCAAGGGGTGTACAGCTCTGGCGGTGATACAATTTTACGAAGGAGACATAAAAGTTTCTACTCACAGGGTCTTAAGATTCGTCAGACCGGTGAACATCTTGTTGTGAACTTCCCTCAGCCTGTTCTCCGACAGGAGTCTGCGAAAACGACGGTCTCGTTATTGCGCGGAACAAGAAACCGTAACGTAAAGCAACGGAATATTAAAACAAAAAGGGCTGTACACGTTTCCGCTTTAGGCGTCCGTGGGAATCGATGTTGGCGCGGGTTGTTACACCATTGAAATCACGGAAAATTCGCACGCTAATTATAATTATTATCGCGTGCTCGCGAAGGCAATCAAACAGGATTTATTGAAATCGCTCCGAGAAATTTCAACGATTTAAGAATTAGAAATGTAGAAACGAATGCGTCTCAAATTTTTTAAATTCACACATAAGCGAATAGATGTTAAAAAGTGAAGAAGATGATGTGTACATATGTATTTGAAAAATGTTGGAGTATTTCACAGGTTTGAGGGGTGTGTTCTACAAATATTTTCATACGTTCGTACAGTTTGCCTGACCCTCGCTTAAAGGCAAGCGAAAATATTTATCATGCGATACATTTTTCCTACGGATAATCGTCATTTCGGCTCGCGCTCGTCCGTACCAAGGTACACGCGAGGCAGCCGTCGCTTCTCTGTCCTCCCTCCGACTACCTAATTAATCGACCCATTGTCCCGTTAATTGCCTTTGAAAATTAAATCCTATTCTGCTTCGTTAAAGCTCGTTTCAAAGTTCCGATCGAGTTAGGCACAAATAACGCAAGTAATCCCGACGGCCTGAATGTAGTCCCGTTATTCGTAACTTCCCCATCGTAGAGGAAAAAACCAAAGAACAAATTGAATTACAGTGTATCGCGTGTTCAATGTTCATGTGTCGATCAAATGATAAAAGATAACAAAGCTTTATCATATCATTTTTATGCTTATGCCACAGTATAAAATGGAACAATAGGCTCACTCACGGTGTTGGCTCCTATAATTACGTGACCAAGAGATTCATTATGTTAGATGTACGCGGGCTTTAATTTGAAAGGTAAAACCACCAAGATTAACAGTAGAAAGACTGAAACTTAGTACATACCTATATTGCCCAAAAGCAGTAAAAATGACTGCATTGTGAA